TAGAGTATCCTGGAAGAGGGTGGGGCTGGAACCTAGGAATTGACTGTCATCTACTAAGTCAAGCTATTGGTCCATCTAATATGGCATTAGCTAAGAAGCCTTCCGCTTCCTGTTGCTCTCCAGATGTATTGCACAGTATGGTTGGCTGGGGAATTCTGAGAGTTGGAGTCCACACATCTTCAAGTTGTCAAGGTTGAGAAACACTGATATAGGCTATACAATGCTCTTAATACATATAACTAAACCCATATATCTGTTGGAAGCTGATTCTAAAGAGAAAATACTGAGCTGAGAAGTTGAAAAGACAGCCTACTGGGTTCCTTCCTAACACAAATCACCAGTTGAGATGCTTCCCTTCGCCCCTGAGTATCACAAGAGCTTCTCTGGATAAATATGCACTTTGTATTTTGAGGGGAGAAAAGCTGCTAAGGGCACCTCACAGAGTCAGGAACAAAGATGTTTCAGGGGGTTAGCCATGTTGGTGGCAACCCTGTGTATTACCATAATCTACTTCAGGTTTACGAGCAGCCTCCATCCTCATTGCATTGCTGGGCGTAGATGTGATCTTCTTCACTGAACTGCATTTTTCTGGGAACAAAAGCGGCACAATCTTATAAAATACGCTTTGGGTTGATGCAATATACTAGTGCCAAAGGCTGGTTCACACACTGTTTTTGCCTTAGTATGTTGGGTGAACTCAGCCGAACAAGTTTTCTGTCTCCAAGGCACTACCATGCTCTTGTGTCTCCTGTTTACTTCAGGTGCTTACCCCTGACCTGATGTTTAAACCAACAAGGTAGAATAATGTCACCTTTGCTTAAGTATCAATTATGAGAGAGGGGCATTTCCAGGAATATAGTGTTCATAAGTCAGCTTGGGACAATATTCCTGAATCCCTAGACATGGCTTGTAAAAAAGCTGTTGGAATGCCTACAAACCCTTACAAACACAGCTAGCACAGCTCTTCCTGTCTATTGGGCATGACAGTGTGTCCCTTAGTGTGAGACATGCAGATGATCAACACAATGGACAGGATGGGGTTGGTGAAAGAAGTTCCCTTCTTCTGAAGGTTTTCCATGTCCATCTAACAAAGCAGGGCAATAAAGCTTTGTTAGATGGCATCTAGCCTCCAAGTAAAGAGGAGGCGGATGCAAAGACCGCAAACATGCCCTTGCCCTGGGGCATTTCTATCTCAGGAGAAAACGCCTGCTTTGCCAGGTTAACGCCTTACCTTTCATGCAACGGCAGGTATTTTCCTGACACAATGTACTCAGGAGCCCATCTTCCTTTCTTGGATGGTAAAATTTTGTGCAACGGTTCTCTAGCGGGTCAGGAGAAAATTAGGAACGATTTAGTGTTACAGGTATATCCCATCTTTTACAAGCTGTTTTCCAGAGTGACTTTTACCATATTATAATAAAACTCCATGCCTAATATACATCAGTTTTAAAGACATGGTATCTGAAAAGCAGCATAATTTCCATTTGAGAGAGAGAGAGCAAAGCTCCTAAGGAGCTGCAGATATTAAAAAGCAGAGGAAAATAGCAGGAGGGTTGGCTCAGGAACCTTCCAGGAAGGATGATCCACATGTGGGACACTGCTGCTGCGAATGTGCCATCCAGTTTGCTTCAGGTGCTGGGGCGCTTTGAAGACAAGACTCCCAAGATCTTCCTTCATGGCAGACTATTACAGAGACAGGTATCTTCTCCTAAGCTGGAGAGGGCTTTGAAGGAAGGCAACAGCACCTTCAGTTGTCCCCAGGAACAGAACAGGAACCATTTCAGAGCCCTAAGCATTGGCAACATAAGACTGTAACATTTGTCCCAGTTAGCAGCCTATAGGTTGTGCCTGAAAAACTGTATTTTCCAGACAGTTTGCTGCAAATGCCACACTGCAGTCATCTAAGCTAGAGGCTACCAGCGCAAAGGAGCTACAGTGAGGTGATCTTCGCTGAGAAGGACTCACAATGAGTGCACCAGCATCTGTTGTTGGAAGGCATTCAATGCTCTGGTGGCCACAGTCCTCCAGTGAGGAAGCATCTAACTCTTGGCCTATCCCAGCACTTCAGCATCATGGCAGAAGCAGTTGTGCAAACAGGGACATTTGTGAGGGGGTGGTGAAAGCTACAAAATGGCAGGCCTGGGGAATTGTTAAAGATTTGTTTGTTCTCCCAGGCCTTGGGGATAAGGTGGTTGTAGAGTTCCTTTTGTTATGGTTGGGTTATTGTGTTCTGTACTTCTGGACACTTGTGGGTTGTTGTTTTTTTTGTATTATGGTTTGTACAGTGGTACCTCGGGTCACAAACGCTTCTGTTCATGACCAATTCGGGTCATGAACAGCACCGCTCGCAAAATTTTGTTCCGTTTGCGAACTCCGCATCGGGTGATGAACAGGATCCGCGGTCATTTTCCCTGCTGTGACACGTGGTCGTGGCTTTCTGTAGGGAGGGGGACTCTCCCTCCAA